GGGGGACTAGTCGCCGAGATGTGCGACAGCTCGTGGTATAGTCAGTGTGTACACACAAGGAAGTCTTCTTGTTGTCTGAGTAAAAGTTTTTTAACGGCACTCGCAACACACTTATGTCGAATAATAGAAGTGCCGAAGATTACGGGAGGCGTCACCAGAGAGTAAAACGTACAAAGAAAAGAAGAAGAGATGAAGAAGACGATGGATAAGAAAGAAGGAGCAAATTACACCAGAACACCCACCCACCACCCACCCACTAGAAAACTGTCCTTACCATCATCACACGCTTCCTTCACCCCAGCAACTGCAACACGGACAACACACACAAAAACCCAAACACACGCGCGAGTGGGGGGGGGCGAGCGCGCGTGCGAAGGTATAGTTTTGCACACAAGCGGAGATTCAGATTAGCTCAGTAGACTCAGCCTATAGTGGAGGAGGTGGTGCTGGGGTGTGTTTAGTTTTAGTAAAAGAGTTTTACGGCACTTGTAACGCAATAAGTTCATGTAAGTGCTGAAGACTGGATGTGTTACAAGAGAGTAACAAACACAAAAAAGAAGGAGGGGAGAATAAGGATGATAGCTGTTTGATAGGAAAGAAGGAGCAAACCACACCAGAGCACCCGCCACCCACCCACAAAAACTTTCACTTCCCGTCCATCTCACCACACAGTATGTTGGGAGGTGTGCCGACAAAATGAGTTACTTCTCGCAACCACCCACAGACGGAGATATAATAGGCCAAAAATCGACACAAGAGTGTGTGTGTGTGTGTGAGAGTGTATGTGTGTGTGTTTGTGTGTGAGAGAGTATGTGTGTGTGTGTATGTGTCTTTGTGTGTGAGAGAGTATGTGTGTGTGTGTGTGTGTGTGTGTGTGTGTGAGAGAGAGAGAGTGTGTGTGTGTTTGTGTGTGTGTGTGTGTGTCAAATTTGTCGATTTTCAACTGATGCCATTTTCTCAAAGTTTAACACATTTATTTTGTTTAAAAATTTTGTTGTTGTTTCAATTTCAAATGTATAAATTGTACAAACTAATCCTACAGCTTTCACGCTTTTATTTATCTATATCCATAATTGTGTCTGTATATATATATCCATAAGTGTGTCTGTGTATATATATATATATATATATATATATGTGTCCATAAGTGTGTCTGTATATATATAAATATATATATGTCCATAAGGCTAACTTCCGAGAAGTAAGTGATTTTGTCCACATGCCTCACCTGTGGTCTACCGAGTTGCAGGAAAAAGAAAAAAAAAGAAGGTAAAAATGCCACAAAATGCAAATGGTGAAATTACTAAAACATGCGTATCTGTACAGAGCTGTACACAGTAAGTATTGCTGAATCAGGGGATGACCACATGAAGAGATGACCATATGAAAAGATGACCACATGAAGAGATGACCACACGAGATGACCACATGAAGAGATGACCACATGAAGAGATGACCACATGAGATGACCACACGACATGACCACATGAAGATGACCACATGAGATGACCACACGACATGACCACATGAAGAGATGACCACATGAGATGACCACACGACATGACCACATGAAGAGATGACCACACGAGATGACCACACGAGATGACCACATGAAGAGATGACCACATGAAGAGATGACCACACGAGATGACCACATGAAGAGATGACCACACGAGATGACCACATGAAGAGATGACCACAGACCACATGAAGAGATGACCACATGAAGAGATGACCACATGAAGAGATGACCACAGACCACATGAAGAGATGACCACATGAAGAGATGACCACATGAAGAGATGACCACAGACCACATGAAGAGATGACCACATGAAGAGATGACCACATGAAGAGATGACCACACGAGATGACCACATGAAGAGATGACCACACGAGATGACCACATGAAGAGATGACCACATGAAGAGATGACCACATGAAGATGACCACATGAAGAGATGACCACAGACCACATGAAGAGATGACCACATGAAGAGATGACCACATGAAGAGATGACCACAGACCACATGAAGAGATGACCACACATACAGCCCCTGGAGCAAGGAAGAGTTAGTTCTCCCCCTTAGCGACGACTATCGTACAAAGTTCCACATTGTAATGACGGAGAGAATGAAACCACGCCTGAGACAAAATCAATAGTAATGATAATAATAACAAGAAATTATAATAACAACAACAATAATCATCATCATCATCATCATCATCATCAATTTATCAAGCCTTTGTTAGTGCCCACGGTGTGAACAGAGAGCAAATGAGATTTTTGTTTTAGTACGAGTTTTACAGCACTTGCAACACACACAAATAGGCCATATATATATATATGAGTGAGCCGAAGATTAGAGGAGTTACAAGAGAGTAACATACACAAAGAAAAGGAGGATGATAGACGTTTGATAGGAAAGAAGGAGCAAACCACACAGTACTAGAGCACCCGCCAACCACCCACTAACATAACAACGAGAGCAGAGTGCACAGTCAGCTGTAAGAGAACTTTGTCGCGACGGCTCCAAAGTCTTTAGTTTTAGTAAAGAGTTTTACGGCACTTGCAACACAATAAGGTCATATAAGTACCGAAGATAAATTAGAGGTGTTACAAGAGAGTAACAAACACAAAAAAGAAGGAGGGGAGATAGAAACCATAGATTTTTTTTATAGGAAAGAAGGAGCAAACCACACCAAAGCACCCGCCAACCACCCACGCTCCAAAGTCATGTCCAGATTGAGGGTGGACTACCAACAATGACAGGTTACACAACACTAACCCACATTTAGAAAAAAAAAAAAAAAAAGCCTTTCAAAACACACTGCAAAAAACCCCCCAAAAAACAAACCCAACCCAGTAGAGCAACCGCATCGTCCTTCATCCTCTCTTCCACAACAGCAACAACAACAACCAAAATTTCTCTTCCAGAACGAAAATAACAACAACAACAACAAAAACCACATTATCAACCAACAATAACAACAACAAAAACCACATTATCAACCAACAACAACAACATCAACAAAAACCACATTATCAACCAACAACAACAACATCAACAAAAACCACATTATCAACCAACAACAACAACAAAAACCACATTATCAAACAACAACAACATCAACAAAAACCACATTATCAAAAAAAAAGCAGCAGCAACAATCGCACTAACAAAAGCTGACAATAATCCACTCCAACCCAAGCCCTCCACAAGACTCTTACACCAAAACCTTATCGCATTCACAGACAATTCTCTCAAGTCAAGGGCTCGAAACCTACGCTGCGAGCCAGTGCCAATTACATATCGGTCAAAAAATGTCCACAAATTACAGTATTAGTCTCTCATACAGACAAATACACATGGGAGAAAAAAAAACCGACAAAAAAACCCCCAACCCAACCCCAACCCAAAAAGTCTAAACTCTCCACTTCTTCCTTTTCACTTTCTTTCTTGTCCCTCTCGCCTCTCTCTCATTTTTTCTCATTCTCTCTCATTTACAACAGAGATAACCTCCAAACCAAAACAAAAACCTCCCCCCCCCCCACACACACACACAACTACACAACACACACTCTCACACACACACACTACACAACACACACTCTCACACACACACACACACACACACAATGAGCCACACTCCCCGCCCATCACTGGAAGAGAGTCACTAGTTTCTTGGCTGCCTTGGCGATGTCGTAGGCGTACTGAATGACCTGCTGGGTCTTGAGCCGAAAGTCTGGGTTGGCGTCCTGCTCCAGCGAGGGTGGCCAGGACTTGCACTCATCCCGCAGCCGCCTGGCGCTGGCCACCAGGACTACACGGGCGTCTTGGAGCCGCTCCGACCCAGTTTCCTGTTCGACCAAAGTGTTGGATGAAAGAAACAAGGGGTTTTAGTTTTTGTTTTAGTTTTAGTCAGAGTTTTACAGCACTTGCAACACAATAAGGTCATGTAAGTGCTGAAGATTAGAGGTATTACAAGAGAAGTTTTAGTTTAGTTTTAGTAAGAGTTTTACGGCACTTGCAACACAAGGAAGTCTCATATAAGTGCTGAAGATTAGAGGTATTACAAGAGAAGTTTTAGTTTAGTTTTAGTAAGAGTTTTACGGCACTTGCAACACAATAAGGTTGTGTAAGTGCTGAAGATTAGAGGTATTACAAGGGAGTTCTTAGTTTCGTTTTAGTAAGAGTTTTACGGCACTTGCAACACAATAAGGTCATGTAAGTGCTGAAGATTATATTTCGTTTTAGTAAGAGTTTTACGGCACTTGCAACACAATAAGATCATGTAAGTGCTGAAGATTTGAGGTGGCACTAGAGAGGAACATTGAAAAGAAAGAAGGAGGAGAGATAATGGGGCTACACAAGGATTCATTACCACCAATGCCTGTAGGTACACGTTCTACATCAGATACAGACATTTTTAGGTCTTTTTAGCAAAACATGCCTATCATTGGACAGCTGTTAAAATGTACTAATCCCAAAATCTTTTTATCTTTATTAATTTTTGGCAGGCAATTTCTTACTCTGTGAATCGTTTGCATGTGCTCAAGAAATATTTTGCCGAAATTCAAAATCAAAATGTTGAAAAGAGGGAGAAAAGATACAACATGTAGGTTCAGTTGCTAAAACAATGAAACGGTTTTTTAAAAAATCTATACCTCCGAACAAATTTTGCTTTTGGAGATTAGAACATTTCACCAGTTTGCCCATGTTACTATTGTTGACCACGGCACCAGAGTCTACGCTTTTCTTATTGCGTTGAAAAGAAAGAATTTATGTAAGTTCTCTACACACAAACACGAATGTTAGGGAAACCTTTCTACACAAAAGAAATTGAACAAGAGGAACTGGGTGCGACTGGTGAAACCAGCTGTAAAAAATAACGATTTTCTCTCATTTACTTTTCTCGAGATTTGAACATTTTTTTGTTTGTTCCAGAACGTACAAACGAAGGAGAAATGGAGAACCCCCCCCCCCAAATATCCCAAGATTTGATTTTTCACAAAATTCAGTAGAGAGACCCTGTACTTTTAAAATACAAAACAGGTGTATTTACGCCCCCATCAACTCAATTTAGATCCTTTTGGAGGCATGGCTTCCACACTGCCTGTCAGGGCCAACCCGAGCTGAGAGGGACATAACATCCCAGCACAAAGACAGGAGATATTCCATGAAAATTCTTCCCGCTCAGGAATCAAACTCTGGCCTCCTGCGTGGCACGACGAAGTGCCTAACCACTACACCACAGACGCTAGTGACCCCACACTTGAGAGAACAAACCGCGACGACTAGGACTACAGCAGATTTTCCGAGAACAGGATATTTAGTGTTAGTAAGAGTGTTACGTCACTTGCAACACAATAAGGTCATAGAAGTGCCGAAGAATAGACGTGTTACAGGAGAGTAACATACACACAAAAAAGGAGGAGGAGGAAGGAAAAAGACAATAGACGTTTGATACGAAAAAAGGAGCAAACCATACCAGAGCACCCGCCAACCACCCGCAGAACAGGATATGTCCCTCACAAAAGCCAACAATGCAACAACGACACACAGGAACGACGTGAAAATAAACGCAAAATGTCTTTCAAAAAGTCAGCCAAAACTGCTGGAACTAAGGGAACACACAGAAAAGAAAATAAAAAAAGTCAGCACAAAAATCAGCAAAATCATAAAGTGGTCACTGACAAGGCAAATGAAAAAAAAAAAAAAATTAAAAATCTAAGTCTTCAAATACTTCAAAAAGCAAAAGCATCTGATATACTTGTACATGATACTGATACTGCGCAGCGGTACTAGAAGCCACAAGTTGATAAGCCGTATGATGATGATGATGATGATGCAAACTGATAGGACAAATCCATCACAAACACACGGTGGAAAATATTGATGATACGTGGAATGATAGGGTATAAGCACCATAAAAAACAAGAATAACAAACAGCATGGATAATGACGATGATGATGATGACGAATGATGATGATGACGATGATGATGATGATGATGGTGGTGATGATGATGATGATGATGATGATGATGATGGTGGTGGCGACGATGATGACGATAATGATGATGATGACGATGGTGGTGATGATGATAATAATGATGATGATGATGATGATGATGATGATGATGATGATGATGGTGGTGGTGACGATGATGATGACGATAATGATGATGATGACGATGGTGGTGACGATGATGATAATGATGATGATGATGATGATGAGAAAAAAGATGGGGCACAAATATGAGACCCCAAAATTTTCTTTTTAATCACAAATATCTAGGACAATAGTGACAATGATGGTTAGTGAACAAAAAAAATAAACCACAAGAAATACACCACAAATGACAAACTTCCTGGACATAATGACGGGAAGTCAAGTGATGGAGCAGAAATACACCACAAAGAAATCACAAACTTCCTGGACATAATGACGGGAAGTCAAGTGATGGAGCAGAAATACACCACAAAGAAATGACAAACTTCCTGGACATAATGACGGGAAGTGAAGTGATGGGGTACGATATTTAAAACAATTTGTTAAATGGAATGTGGTAAATTTAGATAATTAAGGAGACTGGCTTCCCACCCTGCCTATCACGGCCTCCTGTGTGCGACAGCCAAGAGCTTCACCACGACACCACAGACGCAGGTACTACACTTTTTTTATTCTATTCTTCTTCGTAAGAGTTTTACCGCACTTGCTACATAATAAGGTCACATAAGTGCAGACGAAGATCAGAGGAGTTACAAAAGAGTTATTAAAGTTTTGTTTTAGTAAGTGTTTTACGGCACTTGAAACACAATAAGGTCATATAAGTGCCGACAAAGATTAGAGGTGTTACAAGGGAGTAACAAACACAAAAAAGAAGGAGGAGAGATAAGGACGATAGAAGTTTGATAGGAAGGGAAGAAGGAGCAAACCACACCAGAGCACCCGTCAACCACTCACAGAGGTACTACATAAAAAAAAAGAAATCACAAACAGTGTGGAGGAAGAGTGAGCTGACAGGGTGGAGGGCTAACATGTTAATAATTCCCAAATGAGAAAAATCTGAAGATGAATTAAGGTCACGACGAGATGGAACCAGGCGCTTGTCAATTTTTGGGAATGTGAAGTTATTGGTATCATCTAAAAGTAGATTTATTTACCTTGCTTCGGTTGAAATAAATATCCATTTATCTTGAATAGACGTCAAGATATCTGCGATTGAAGGAAGTGAGGTCGCCTGGTTTCAGTTGTGAAATTAGCGATAAAATGGCCACCAACTTTGTTAACTCCAATAGCTAAAGAGTCTTTGAAAACAGAAAAATGACATATTTTGTGCCTTTAATGAATGTTTTTCAGTAACATTCACATGGAAATGTGGTTTTTATATGGACGTAAAAGAGGTTTAGCCAAAACATAAAAATTTGATAAAAATTTCCAAACTGGCAGAAAAATGCGTTTCTCCGATTTTGTTATTTTCACGAGCGCCTGATTTCACCACGCCGCCTCACATATGATGTGGTGAGCAGCGGGT